ACGCTTGGTTTATATAGAACAATGACAACTTAAACAACTCTTTGAAGGTTTAAATTGTTAGTTGCTTGGTTCTTCTCTATGATGGAGAAACTGTTGTATATGGTTCTGTAACAAACCTTAGTATTAGTTATATATAGCACCAAAGGGTTGTTACAGGTTAAAGAACATTTCTTGATACTATAGAGAGCCCTAATGCTCTTATGATCTTGTTGGCTTAGTGGTTGCAGAGCAGCTCCTGCTTTGTACTAACAGTTTGTGGAGGCTACTTGTATGGCACTGACACCAATACTGGTCAAACTGTTAAAAAGTAAAAGGAGTAAAAGAGCTGATATTCCTGCCTGAAGTGGGTATGTGACGGAGCCGAGTCAGAGGCAGTGTAGAATGGACACATGGTGTAAATTCAGGCTAATGTTGCTAGTTATAGAAGCTTAGACCCCACAGCTCAGCCACTTCTGTTTTAAGCTATGTGATGTACTTCTGTCTGTTTATGCAGATAACAGAAGGTCATACAGTATAAGAAACCTCATAAGCAAGTCTATTTGAGATCACTTACCAAGTCAACACTGTTTAATGTGTGATGATAATGCTACTCGGTTGAATATAAGCTTCCATTACTTGTCGCTACATTAGCCTCATAGCTCCAGTGCAAAGCTAAAGAAGCAGACTTCAAACACCAAACGTGTCTCGACTGGTGCTGTACTTGAGTTAAGGGGACAACTGTGTGATTCTTATTTTTGCTGAACTATCACTTTAAAAGCCATTAAAAAGTGGTCTGCTAGGAGATGCTTGCCAAGCTGAATGATCATTACCTGCATTTACAGGTGAAATATTTTGGACGCGACCCAACAGATGGCAGGATGAGGCTGTCTCGAAAAGTGCTTCAGTCTCCTGCAGCTACAGTGGTGAGGACTCTCAATGAGAGGCAGAGTATTACTATGGGAACGTCGAACGGTCAGCCGGACAGTTCCTCCTGACCCACGGAGTGCTGAGGGGTGTTAAGTGCATGTTGAGTAACAGCAGTGGACTGTATATCTTTGTTTGCACTCAACAGTCTGCTTCACCCAAGTGGATCCATGTTTATCAGGAGGGGAGTTTCTTCCCACTCCCCCACATTACCTTCCAGTGCTGAGTAACTCAGTTAACAATACTGAACCCAGTTTTTCAGCACGATATACTGCAGCGCTGGGAATATGTGATCTCATAGTTTTATGTATATTTCCATAGTCCAGTGCAATTATTATGATTATGTTGGAAGAATTGGAGGGGGGATGATGCTTTGTGGAATTGTTTGTAAGTATTTTGTTTATATGCACTTTTTTAACAAATAAAAAAATAGCAGAAATGTGTTTGGGTTCTGTGGTCAATACTATTCTTGAAACATGGACCAATACAGAACCTCATTTGTACAATTAACAAAAAAACATTTCTGATAGTATTTACGAATGACAGGGCCATTTCTGAACATCAGGGGGCCCTAAGCAACATCCTACTAGGGGGCCAGCTGCCTTCCCCAATCCATACTTTGTTTATTTTAATAAGTGACAGATAATTTAATACATAAATACAACCCCATGTCCAAAAAAGTCAGGATGCTGTGCAGAATGTAAATAAAAATAGAATGCAATAATGTGTAAATCATGTAAACCATATTTTTAGAGGAAAATACTACAAAGACAACATATCAAATGTTGAAACTGAGACATTTTATCGTTCTTTTGAAAAATATATGCCCATTTTGATTTTGATGCCAACAACACATTCCAAAAAAGTTGGGACGGGGTCATGTTTACCACTGTGTTTCATCACCTCTTCTTTTAACAGCACTCTGTAAATGTTTGTGAACTGAGCAGACTGACTGCTGTAGTTTTGAAAGTGAAATGTTTTCCCGTTCTTGTTTGATATAGGATTTCAGCTGCTCAACAGTTCAAGGTCTCCTTTGTCATATTTTTCATTTCATAGTGTGCCAAATGTTATCGGTGGGTGATGGGTCTGGACTGCAGGCAGGTCAGATTAGCACCCGGACTCTTTTAATACGGAGCCATGCTGTTGTAGTACATACAGAGTGTGGTTTGTCATTGTCTTGCTGAAATAAGCAAGGCCTTCCCTGAAAAAGACGTCATCTGGATGGCAGCATATGTTGCCAAAACATGTATATATCGTTCAGCATTAATGGTGCCTTCGCAGATATCGTCACCCATACCATGTGCACTAATGCATCCATATACCATCATGAATACTGGCTTTTGAACTATGCACTGATAACAAGCTGAGTGGTCTTTAGCCCGGAGGACACAGTGTCCATAATTCCAAAAAAAAAATAAATAAAATGTTGAGTTGTCAGACCACAGGACACTTTTCCACTTCCCCTCAGTCCAATTTAAATGAGCTCAGGCCCAGAAAAGGTGGCAGCATTTCTGGATCTTGCTAATTTATGGTTTCTTCTATGTGTTTTAACTTGCATTTGTGGATGCAGTGATGAGCTGTGTTCACAGACAGTGTTTTTCAGAACTGTTTCTGAGCCCATTCAGTGATTTCCACCATAGAATCATGTCTGTTTTTAATGCAGTGCTGCTTGAGGGCCCAAAGATCATGGCCACAATATACTGGGGCCTTAAGGAAATACTTTCGCTTACAGCAAGAAACGGTTCTGCCAGCGATGAAAGATGAAATTAGTTCTTTAAAGGCTAATATCGTAACTTACGTATTTTTCCCTAGGTTCATTTATAATATTTGTGTGTGTGTGTGTACCAAAGTCAGTTCTGGCCTTTTCTGATTGGCTGCCCAAAAACAGCCCAGGCAAAAAAACTGCTTCTAACTTCAACTTGAATAGGCAGAGCTGCTGTAGGCTTTAAGGCAGACACATGTAAATATAGTTTGTTGTGACATCACAAAAACAATTTAATATGGGCTGGGAATTGAAAGTAATAATGTTTTGAAATGTTAACCGCGTTTACACACTACATCAAACCCCATCATATTAAAAAGAGAGAAAAATTATATTTTCCATGAAATGGGTGTTTTAAAGCAAACAACTGCAGCCTTTTGTTTATGTATGTAATCTCAAACAATATGATTTATTTCATACTTCACAAGTGTTCTGGGCTTGAAGGTGAATTTTGTCATATTGAGGTAAATGTGCAAAAGCAATATCAAACCACTGGCATTTATTCTGCCACTACTTTTCAGTTCACAGAAGAATAAACTGAATTTCGTGGACAACTTTAACATAGCAGTCACACTTAAAGAGGTAGTCGTTGTAATTTAAGCCATACCAGAAAGCTGTTGGCATTCCTTAGCAATAACCATAATAATTACTCTCATCTAGTTAATGCACAGAATGCACAAAAAGCACAATATTTATTGGTACTATTATATTGTACCGCAAGCTTGTAATAACTATGTTACAAAGTAAGTAATTAATAGGCCCTATTCACTTACAGTGTTTAACCCTAAATATAAAAAGAACTGAATTGACGAACCGTGGAGAACACCGGATAAATTCTGTGTAATTAATAAAGTAAATGGGCTTTCTTTGAAAATAATGAATTTGTCCTGTGTGAGATGTGGGCTTCGAGAATATTGGAAAACATGTTTTAGACCGTTTTTTAAAAACAGATAATTTAGCAACCAAAGTAAGACTTTTTATTTAATTTATTGTACACCATCGCAGGGATTCGTTTGTTAATGTGTTGCTGCTGAAATTCAATTAATTAAAACAAACAAACAAACCCATATGTGTACACCCTCTCTAGTCCCAGTCGGCTTCCGTAGCCCCTCTCGGGAGACCCCGCGGCGGAAACAACGCTGCGATTGATGTTTTAAAGGAGAAAAGGGGAGTTCGATTCAATGTACCGAACCGATTCTTATGAACTGGTCGGTTCAATGAGTTGAACGTCCGATTCAACGATTCATTTGCGTTATATAGCTGTTGTCTATCGCCGTAAGCGCTCTTTCAGGTTAAACATGAAAACATGGTAAAAAAAAGGTGTAATTCAAATGAATGTATTCGTTTATAAAAATGATCTTTAAATAGTTTAATTTTGGTGTGCTGTGCAAAAATATTGCTGAAGAAGACGGATGTAAATATTGCTTTAAAGGGGAATTCCGTTTTTTTTTTATTTCTGCATAATTCGGTGGTTGGGATGTAAATAAAGTCGTTCAGAGTGGTTTGACGTGAAATGGTTCATAGATACTTTTTAGATTTCTGATAGAAATGTGATAGGAAGCAGGGGTCCCGATGTCTACAACACAAATACAGCCATTTTGTTCACTATCCAAAACCACCAGTGCACTTGCCTGTCTTCTGAGTTTTTATACGTGATGTTGATGATTGTAAAATAGTCGCAAAGCTGAAAAAATAAGTTTTCTTTGGGGACAGTTTTGCCCTAGAACACCCTTAATGTATCCCTCCACCACGAATGGATTAAAATAAATTGATTAACGTACGTTTTAGAGCACAAATAGAGAACAATCGTGTAATAACTTTCTGAGAGGGAGCGTTTAGAGGCATTAAACTCTTCAGTCTGGTTCCTATCACCAATACTGTGAAAAATTCTGACTCAGTAAATTTCTTTAGAACAAAGCATTTCACACCAAACTACTTTGAATGGTTTCGTTTACATCAATTTTATTTAGCACAAATTTTGAAAAAAATCAGTGGAGTTCCCCTTTAATCTGAATTCGAGTGAAACCGAGTAGGGGTGCCAACGCTATTTTTTTTACACTTTATTGCACTGTTGTTGAAATTAAACACAAAATTAAAAAATAAATATATGTGCATGTCATGTGTTTATCTTTATGCAGACCTACAATTTTTATTCGTCGAATGTGGAGATAAGCCGCATGCAAAGCTGGTACGTCTATCAGGTATTTGCTTATTTTTTTGTGTACAAAAAGAGTAAACGTTTGGATTCGTTGGTGCGTGTGAATCAACTCGCCCGAGTCACTCAGGAGTCGTTCCGAACGAACGGTTCGTTTCGCTCTAGAATCACCATCACTAACAGCAGATCGGATTACAAGATGGCGGTCGGTGGATGAGAGAGAACGGCCGCCGGAGATCAAACTCGTCTGGACGCTGTTTTTGAACACGGTCCTTTTTTTAGATAGGGGAGGAAGGAAACTGTAACCGTGATAGATACTGAAGAAGTGCGTTTTTGTAAGTGTGAGCGGGAACATGCGGTTGATCAGAGAGTTTGAAGTCCGCGGTTGAGAAAAACAGGAGAAAAAACAACAGCAGTGTTCTCGGAGCCGCTTCATCGTCACCGACAATGTCGGACACCAGACGGCGTGTGAAGGTTTACACGCTAAACGAAGACCGGCAGTGGGACGACAGAGGGACGGGACACGTCTCTTCCACCTACGTGGAAAGATTAAAAGGAATATCGCTGCTGGTTCGGGCTGAATCCGACGGTAAGGCTAAGCTAAGCTAAGCTAGGCTAACCTAAATGAAACTGTTAGCTAGCTAAGCTAACCTAGCTAACAGTTACGTCCTCTCACGCTGGCTTTAACGTTACAGTTCAGCTGCCTGGTTGTCCGAATAGGACTTTGAACGTGTATAGCTTCTGTTCGCTTTAATTGTCTGGACACAGGTGAAATCGAGGGTTTTTAAATCTATTTTTTTTTTTTGCTGCTTAGCACCATTAAGAAGCTAACAAAGCTAGTTAGGTTAGCTCGAGGAACTTCAGAAACATGAAGCTGTGTTCAGCTAACGTAACGTTAATTAGTTGAGGAGGCTGGAAAACTGATCAGTCTTTTTTTGGTGCTTCAGTTGTTTTAGCTAACCATTACAGCATTTTTCCATCATCCGAGACGTTTAATTAAACCCAGGAGGGAGTCCGTAATCAGTATAATGAGTTTAAATAGGTATGTTAGGGAAGACTAAACAGGAGCTTTAGTCCTAGGAACAGTGCGGGTCAGCAAAACGTTTTAACCAGACATTATTTCTCCTGCTCGCCAAAACCTCTAACTTCAACTTGAGTGGGCAGAGCTGCTGTAGGCTTGAAAAGGTAGATATATGTAAATATGTTTTTTCGTTCATTAAAAGAGGGCTGTTAGCTGTGGTTTACCAATTACATATTAAAATAAAACTGTGGAAAATTCTATTTTTCTCGATATGGGCCCTTTAAAGCGAAAAACTGTGGAGAAACATTGCAGTTTTTAAGTATGTATGTAATCTCAAAGTGAACTGAGCTCACAGGTGGGCTTTGTCATATGGAAGTAAACTATCAAAAGCAACATCAAACCATAGGCGCAACTCTTCTGTCACTACTTTTACTAGTGTGCGTAGGGATAGACTGAATTTTGTAGACAAATTCAACTTAACAGTTACACCTAAGGAGACTTCTTACACTTTGCACATCAGTCTAACGCTTTTGCTTGAAACTTATAACAGTGTTTCAGCCATGGCAGGGGTTCTTCTGCTCGTAGCTCACGTTTGAGCAGCTAGCCAAGTCAAATAAACATTCACCAGTTTCTTATTAACTCAGATTATGTGGTAGGTGCAAAGTGAAGGCCATAAAGGCTTCTTGCTATCTACATCAAAACGCTAACTAGAAGATAAGATACTAGGTATTCAGTAGGTGATCCAAAGGGTTAGTATGTTTACCTGGTAAGTAATGTTTAGATTTACGTATCTTGGAATATGGACAGATCTGGAGGCTTAAATAGCACCGAAAAGGGTTCATTTTACTTGCCTTTGTCACCTTTGGAGCCTGTTGTCTTTGCCGTTAATCATCTAACCATCACGTACCCATTTTGGGTGGACTTCAGGACAGGTTTTGGAAAACCCTGTTCATAGACAAGCTAATAGAGACATTTCTTATTGATCTTCCTCCAGAAACTGTTTTGTTTATGTGTTTGCAGATTTGTGATTGGTCTCTCATTAACCAACCACAGTTTGTTTGCGCCAATACAAGTTTACCCACCACACAGTGTAGTACAGACTGCTATAGCTTAAGCTAAAGAGTTAGTTCTTTACCAGTAAATCGGATGTTAGCGGCTCACTGTGGTTCACACAGACCCCGCTGATGAATCCGTGGAGGGTTGTCATGACAACAAGGATAGAACAGACTCTGCTGTGCTCGTAATTACTCCACGTAGGGCCGTAGAGCTTTCACCTCAGGTTACTATGTACAGTTTTATACTACAGTCATATAAGATGTTGATGTTGTTGTTGGAAACACCCAAGTATTTCAATTTGTATCACTCTTGAACTCCTTTAGCTGTTGCAAACTGTTTTTAATTATGTTTAATTATGCTTCCTTCTGTATTTTTTATTTTATTTTATTTTATTTTTTTAAGGCTCACTTCTGCTGGAGTCAAAAATCAGCCCAAATACTGCATATCAAAAACAACAGGTAAGTGAAAGCCCACTGTCCTGCCCCAATTTTTGTTGTATGGTGGTGCGAGTTGTGTTTTACCTGTCAGTCATACAGTTTCTTTGTTATGGAGCTTGACACATTTCTGTTTTCAGGATACCCTTATTGTTTGGTCCGAGGCAGAAAATTATGATCTTGCCCTGAGTTTCCAGGAAAAGGCGGGTTGCGATGAAATCTGGGAGAAGATCTGTCAGGTAAACAGCTAAATATATTTTCTCATAGCCACTGCCATTTTGCATAATGACCAAAAACAGTGTCTGCAGGGAGCAACTTTAGTGTCTGTTACTTTGGTTAGTCGCACAATGGGCTGTCATACGTTTATAATCAGGTCATGATTGAACTGCATTGATTTTGTCATTTTAGAGTTGATTATGATCAGTAGTAAAAATTATTAATGAAGTATTTGTTCATGTTTTTGGCTGAAATATTATCTTTATTATTATTTTCCTTTTTTTCCTTCAAAAGACCTAGCTTATTGTATTGATTGTGTGCTGGGCTCAGATACTGAAATTAAGCGGTCAATCAGTTTGCTCTGAGCAGAACCAGTACTTTAACGTTCCTATTCTTAGGTTCAAAGTTTTATGCCGAGAAAACATTTACAGTACGTTATTTACCTTGTTTCTTTGAAGCCATGTAAGGTTGCAGCCTGTGCTATACCGTGCACATTGAATGACAAAACTAGTTTAGAAGTAAGATATTGAATAATACGTTTTGTCGGCTGCATGTAACCAAAAGCTTCATTAACTGGTAACAATGACTGAAAATGAAAGTTTCTGTCCCAGAACAGTTACAAATGATTATCTTTTTTGTTGTTTTTGTTCCTAGCAAAATACTATTTATGTATGTATGTATTTATTTATTTATTTATTTTTATTTGAACTGATTCAGAGCCCTGATTGTCTGTGTTGCCCTACTATGGAATAGTGTTTCTGTTCACATTTGGATTTACATTGAACTCCTAAGGAATCGTAATTCAAATAAGTCAAGGTCAGAGATTTGTACACCCTAATCACATATGCATTTGTGTCACTGACTATGTTTTTGTTTACTCTTAGGTACAAGGAAAAGATCCCTCCTTGGAGATCACTCAGGACCCCATTGATGAATCCGAGGAAGAGCGCTTTGAGGAGATGCCAGAGACCAGCCACTTGGTGGAGCTACCCGCCTGCGAGCTGGCTCGTCTGGAGGAGATAGCTGACCTGGTGACCTCTGTGCTCTCTTCACCCATCCGTCGGGAAAAGCTGGCGCTGGCGCTCATGAGTGAAGGCTACATCAAGAAGCTCCTTCAGCTTTTCAGGACGTGCGAAGACCTGGACAACCGGGAGGGCCTGCACCATCTTTATGAGATCGTACGTGGCGTTCTCTTCCTCAACAAGGCCACCTTGTTCGAAGTCATGTTCTCTGACGACTGCATCATGGACGTTGTGGGCTGCCTTGAGTACGACCCAGCCCTGGTTCAGCCCAAGAGGCACCGGGAGTTTCTCACCAAGACGGCCAAATTCAAGGAGGTCATCCCCATCACGGACTCAGAACTTAGGCAGAAGATTCACCAGACATATCGGGTGCAGTACATTCAAGATATCATCCTGCCCACGCCATCCGTCTTCGAAGAGAACTTCCTTTCCACGCTCACGTCATTTATCTTTTTCAACAAGGTGGAAATAGTTAGCATGCTTCAGGTGAGTCTTCTCAACTGCATTAGGCGTTGATGAGGTCTGTATTTTTTTGACAAAGAAAAAGAAATGAGAATAAGAAATAAGAAATGAAAGACATATTTATGAAAGCAGTGTTGTTGGACACAAGCCACCTCATTGGAAATCTCGCGTTTTCAGAGCCAGCAAGCCATTTTGACTCTTTCTTAATCGAAAGCATGTGTATTGAATTCAACAGAAGGGTAGTGTATTGTTCTTAGGCATTCACGGAGCACAAGCGATGAACTGGTCATAAAATAGGACACACATTGTTTTGTTGTGTATTGTTACATGATAACAGTGAGTTGTTTTGTATGTATTACTTGTATTAAGTGTTATTTAGTGTTTAAGGCTTTTTAATGTGGTTCAGTGTAGTGTCATTAAATGTACATTTGATTTATTAGAAATGTGCATGTACTTTCCAAGTGTGCAACATTAAGATTTTTTTTCCTTTTGAGTTAGCATGAGCATTTCAGTCGAATTTGTAAGCCGTTACTGGACAAAAAAAAATTTGAATAATACTCATAAAACAATAAAATCTAGGATACTACAGGCTTCCGCACACGCGACACTTCCAGAGAGGGACACCATATTACTACTGCTGTGCTGTATGAAAGCCAGACCACAGAAACATATAGATGACGTGACGTGAAATTTACGATGTTAACTACGGAGTCTTTACAGAGTCTTTTTAGTTAAACAGACAAATGCTAAGCATCTCTGTTTCAGCCAACGCTACTGGTGTAGTCACATCATATTTCAGCTCATACCTTTCAGCTTTAAATCAATGAGTTTTTAAAGGCTTATTAAGTTTGTAACAAACATGATAAATTCACTAAATTATGTTAAAGGTTTTGCTCAAATAAATCTATATGAGTGGAGTGTGAAAAGAACCTGAGATGCTTGTTTATCAGGGTGCAACACTTTTTCTCTGCTACTGCTGTTGTGCTGCTCTATCCTACTCCAGAGACACTCTGGTGATTTGATCATTATACTTTTACTTGTAGTGAAAATTTCTCTTCTTTTTTTTTAAGGTAATTTTTTTTTCTCATTGAAGTATTTATTTTTTCTTCTGATCACCAGGAAGATGAGAAGTTTCTCACTGAAGTGTTCGCTCAGCTCACAGATGAAGCAACAGAGGAAGGGAAAAGGAGGGAGCTGGTAAGATCACAGCTGCGTTTCTTTTTCTTCTCTTATCAAATCTGTGTGCTTTGAACAGTGGTGTTTTACTGATTTTTGTGTAACTGTAATGTTTGATTTCCACAGGTCAACTTTTTTAAAGAGTTTTGTGCTTTTTCACAAACACTGCAACCTCAGAATAGGGACGCTTTCTTCAAAACATTAGCGAATCTAGGAATTCTTCCTGCGCTGGAAATCATTATGGTAAGCTACATACATTTGTTTCAGTCATGGAATTTTTAACAGTTGAGATATTATTTAGAGTTGTTTACTATTTATTTTTTTTATTGAACGAGTAATGTAAATTAATTTTTAGTGTTCTCAAAATGCTCATTGATCACTATTTGCTAATTTGCATTTCCTGTCTACTAGTCTTAGTGTAGAAGCATATTGCATAGTGTTCAGATTTTATTTAGATATGTTTGATTACCATATAATCTGGATGCCCATGATGTCAAGGAGCTCTGTTTTGGGTTTGTGTTTAATGTGAAAACTGTGTTTAGGGTATGGACGACCTCCAGGTGAGAGCTGCAGCCACTGATATTTTCTCGTATCTGGTGGAGTTTAGTCCTTCCATGGTCCGAGAGTTTGTAATGCAGGAGCCTCAGCAGGCAGATGATGATGTGAGTACCAGCACTGTAGAACAACGTGGTATATGAGCATGTCCATTAAAGCAATTGATGAGCAAAGCATTTAAAATCAGATCAGCAGTTTAACTGGGTTTAAGAAACAAAAAATGAACGAGTTATTACTACATTAGGAATGTAAAATGTTTTGTTCATTATTGATTGTCAAACTGAGGAGCCACCTGTACCATCTGTAAAGTGCCTAATTGGTCTCATTATTACCATTATACATGGCCCTATTCACACATGGTATAAATGTTCATCTTGAGTGATCAGATTATAAATCAACAGCGAGATTTTAGCCATTTATATTTTCCAGTTCCACCTTTCTCGAAGTGACTGCTTATGATTGGATGACTATGTCAGTCCTTCGTTGCATTTGTTGTCAGAAAAATGTACCATGACTCCTGGTTCATGTTAATGTAAAGGCTGTTAGAAACGTTTAGATCACATGTATTGCTAATGCAACTTCTGAATAAAAGGGAGCGGAGATAAAGAAAGAAGCCACATGGCAGCTTTTGGCTCTCCTGTGATGACACAGTTGATTAAGTGGTCCTTTGTTGTCTTCAGAGTGCTTTAGTGTTCACATTACAAATGTTATGTGGTCATATATGTTGTCCTTGACCACCTCCGAAGGTGTTTTGAGTGCTTGCAGTACATCTCTAAGAGAGGTAGACTCTTCACACCTGGTCTTAGTGCTGTCCAGTTATGGTCAGATGACCACGGATGCATGTTAATGCCAATTGTAAAGAAGGGTCTGGTAGGCAAATAGCTGTCTATACATGGATGTAATATAAAATTGTAACAGTGACCCCAATTTTGACATTCAGTCAGTCAGTGAATGACATACAAATCAGGTTCTGCCGATATTGGTATGTAGGTGACTTTGGTTGCATAGAACAAATTAATATATTTAATAAAAATGATTATGTATTATCATTATTATTATTATATAATTATAGATTTCTTGGGGATTCCTGAGGATTCATTTTCATGTGTGTTTTCAGGATGTTCTGCTGATAAACCTGGTGATAAAGCAAATGATCTGCGACTCAGACCCTGAGCTGGGCGGCGCGGTACAGCTCATGGGGCTGCTCCGAACCCTCATCGACCCTGAGAACATGCTGGCACCCACCAATGTGAGTTACTGCTGCACCTCCCAACATTTCTGCTATCTCTGCCTTGCAAAGTGGAATAAACAAATGTTTCCACCTCAGTTATTCTCTGTGAAGCATGTCCTAGTAGTCATTAGTAGAAAGCTGCCCTTTGGAATTGACACATGTATTGTGTAGATAAGGCCCTGCCATGGCAACTAAAATCATTATCATTAGCTATTCTCTGCCTGTCTGATGTAGTCAGTTGATAGAGGTTAGGTTTGTACAGTGTGAGATTTTGCAGGAGCTGTTATTTCATTTTATATTTGTTATTGTTAAAGTTCAGAATCAAGATATGAATAGTCTTTATTTTATATACGAGAATAATATGTATTTAATTGAAAGCACATGTATTGTGTATATATGGATAGTGGATGTATTACTTGTATTAAGTATTATTTAGTGTGTAAGGCTTCTTAATGTGGTTCAGTGTAGTATCATTGAATGTGTATTTGATTTATTAGAAATGTGCATATACCTTCCAAGTGTGCAGCATAAGAATTTTTTCTTTTTTAGTTAATTTTGGGGGTGAGCATTTTAGTTGAGTTTGTAGGCGTTACTTGAAAAAAAAATGGATAGTATTCATAAAACAGTTAAATCTAGGATGCTACAGGCTATTTTAAGTATGAGAATAATATGTACAATGTAAGCTGAAATGTAACTGTATCTGTATTCTGTGAATTAGCTACTCCTTTAATCTAATTTCCGTTATTGGTGATGCTAATGGTATTTCTTTTTGATTAAATTTTATTGTTAACTTTTCTGTCCTGTTTGAATATTGTGTCCCCAGAAAACAGAAAAGACTGAATTCCTCAGCTTTTTCTACAAGTACTGCATGCATGTTCTCACAGCCCCATTGCTGGCCAATACAGCAGAGGAGAGAAAGGGTAAGTTCTCTGTGACATGAATTTATATGTATATGTAGCTTGAAACTAACTTGAAAGTGCATTTGTTGTCTATTACAAGACTTGAATTGTATTATGATTAGTAAATTTATTCAAACTTTTTTTCCATAGATTTGCCAGAGGGATCTACAAAGGGCATTCCAGTTTGTCCAGGTAAGCTTGTTTTGCTTTCAGTACATGCAACCCAGTGTAAGCATTACTAACTGTATTCTAAGGTTTGCTTAAAATCTGTTCTCTTTCTCCTGCTACCTCAGACAATTTTCAGACGGCTCAGCTGTTGGCTCTGATACTGGAGCTGCTGACCTTCTGCGTAGAGCACCATACTTACCACATAAAGAACTACATAATGAATAAAGACCTACTGCGGAGAGTGCTGGTGCTTATGAACTCCAAGCACACCTTCCTGGCACTATGTGAGTCTCAAGGCTCATTTGGGTGGTTCTTTTCACTGCTAGAAGACTGCCTTCTGTTACACTAAAAGAATTTTGTGAAATGTTTTTGGGAATAGTTAAGAACAGGCTTTGTAAAAAAATCCATTTTAGAAAGCAAAATGTAATGCAGTAGAATGTGCTAACTGTTCCTTACTTGTGCAGGTGCCTTGCGGTTCATGAGGAGAATAATAGGACTAAAGGATGAGTATTATAACCGCTACATCATTAAAGGGAACCTATTTGAGCCAGTCATTAATGCTTTGTTGGACAACGGGACAAGATATAATCTTCTCAACTCAGCCATCATAGAATTATTTGAATTCATCAAAGTGGTATGAACTCAACAAAGTTCCTAAAATTACATAACTAATTTTGATGGCAGTTATATCTTGAAATGACCTTCTCTTTCTTGGAATCAGGAGGACATAAAATCGCTCATCGCTCACATAGTGGACAACTTCTACAAAGCACTTGAATCCATCGAGTATGTTCAAACGTTCAAAGGCCTGAAGGGCCGTTACGAGCAGGAAAAAGATAGACAGAGCCGGGGGCTCAGCAGGTCAGTCAAGAAACATCCCTATTTCCATGTGTTTCCTGCATTATCAGAGGTTTTATTTAATGATTCAGGAAACTTATTATTATTAACTTATTATCTATACATCATACAAATCTTGTAAGCAAGTCTGTTTGGGATGTCTTGGTCAATGTGAAATGAAAAATGAAATGAAAAAGAAAAATTCTAAAGCATTTTCCTTTATTTCTGAGTTAAACACAGTATCACAGAGGGTATCTGAGCTAGCTTAGCGTTTCACTTGTGGATAGGTAGGGTGAAAGAAGAGGGGAGGAGAAACAGGTCGTTGGTTAATGTTATTTTTCCTTTTCTGCTGGTGACAATCAAAACTCAGAACGCATTTTTGAGGTGTCCAAAAGTAATTACACTTACATTACAAGAAAAAGAGTATTTTGTCTTTTAAATGACATGAGTTGTGCTTAAATGATATGAACAGGTACTTAAAGTAACGAGTTAAAAAAAAGGTTAAGTTCAGGTTTACTTTAACAATTTGATGTGGTTTGAGGCAAGTTTGTGATCATTTATGCATGCTTTTTGCATGATTGGTAAATTGCTATAAGCTTCCATTGTTTGTTAGCTACATTGGCCTCAAAATTCCAGTGCAAAACTAAAGCAGCAAACTTTGGACACCAAAAGTCTTATCAACTGTAGTTAGGATAAGATTTTTCACAGAGCAGGTCATTTTATGGAAAAATGTAATTTTTTACAGATACCGTCGTGATGCTCGGACTCTGGAAGATGATGAAGAAATGTGGTTTAATGAAGATGAGGATGAAGACGACGCAGACGCAGGGGTTGAGAAGAGAGTCGACGAAGACTTTCCAGAGGCTTATGGAAAGTATATGGGGGCAAAGAAAGGTATTCCATACTATTTCTATCTGAAGTATATAGAATTTATTTTCACCTCTTTGGAAAGGTAATCCACCGTTCCTCACACACGTCTCTTATCTCGTTGCAGTTAAAGAAAGTGAGGACAAAGAGAACCTTCCAAAGCGGACACCAACAGGCAGCTTTAAGTTTACCTTCTCTCATTCTGCAGGGGCTGCCAATGGAACCAATGGTGCCAGCAGCAAACCAGCCCCATCTGCCTCACCTGCCAGTCCGAATGGCTCCTCAGGCAAGGCAGCAGCAGCACTGCCCTCTACCCCAGTGGTGAAGGTTGGTTCGAATTGTTCAAATTGAACATAATACTTGCTTTTTAGAAGAGATGTGGCATTAATGTGGCATTCAAACAGGGATTTTATAGACTGGAATACAAATGAAATGGGTTTACATTTTATGTGTAAGGGTAGAAACAGTTGAAGTTATGCCTCATGCAAAATGGTGACATCAGTGTAGAGCTATATGGAAATAATTTCATATAAACACAAGACATTTATATATTTTAAAATATGTGACTGATATCAGCTGGTTGTATATTGTCACATATGCCTATATATGTAAAATATATGTACATATCACTATATAAACTTAATGGGTGTCTCTGCAAAAAAGTGAATAATAAATCTTCTGTTTTTGTAACTTGATGTATATTAGTACAATGTAGTGTATATAGTATAACTGTGTAGTATATTTGCACATTTTCTCATTGGCGTATGCAAATGTGTTTTGTATTAAAATTAATGCTGCTTTTTAGTGATATTTGCTTGACCTGCATTGGGCACTGATTCATGTTTCTCTCACCAGGCCGGACTGGTTGGCCTCGTGGACTACCCAGACGACGAAGATGAAGAAGATGAAGAAGAGGAGGACGATGAGGAGGAAATGTCTCCGAGGAAAAGACCCCGGCTGGGCTCGTAAACCACAGCTGCAGTCCTCCACTCCAATGTTCCATGGTGCCACTGAGTCCCAATGTCATGGGCTTAGGGACCCGACCCAACCCAAACACCCCTCACCCCCCTCTACCCCAGCTCTACCTTTTGCTCCCACACAAGAATCACCAGACTTTGAGCAGCAGAGGAGTGGACCCTTTGCCAAGGTCATTCGAACCTGTCCATTTTTCTTCACCTCCACACAATCCTGTTGTACCAGGTTGTACCAGCAGGGGTGCTGAACTTCATCACAACTGCATTTTTCCCCACCAGTGGGGCAGGGGATAACATGAGAGCCAGTCAGCCTAGCAGGACTAGCCACTTAGTATTGGAAGCTTGATCGGCAGAGCCTACCGAGCCATGCGTCTTTTCCTAATCTTGATCCAACTTGGGTGGAGGGAACAAGGTTAAATGGGGAGGACAAAACACAATAACAGACATGGGTCTAAACAGCAGAACTCGTCATAGTCCTTGACTTGAAGCTCAAGTTCGGATGTTTGAAATCTTGTATTCATGAGTTTATTACGAGTAGTGTACAGCTGTATTTTTTTCCCTTTCTCTTTTTGTTTTCACCTTCAGTGATGATTTTTTTAATCAGAAAGGGGACAACTACTCCTGCCAGTGTAAATTTTCTCCCCCCCCCCCTTTTTTGGCACACGTCAAGGTGGGATGATCGTTTACCCCTTTTTAATTGAAATTCTTTCGTTCATTGAAGAAAACCAGAAGTTGTGATGCTGATTTTAATAACGTGTATTAAACTGCAGTAAAAGTCATTTTGCAGCTGATTGGAGCATGTCTGAGGGTGTCTGTGTTATGTGACTGAATTTACTTAGTCATGAGAAGAATTTCCACACCTGAAGGTCCTTCTGCCAAACCACATGTTCCTCTTCTTTTTGTGAGGAGAGCGATGGCTTTATCACCATGTTCTTTGTGTCACCAGCACACACTGTTCCTTAAGTGTTAAAAACTGGCCGTTACAAACAGTTTGGCTGTTATGTAGACATTCCTACTGCTGTTTAGGTCTGAGGCGGCCTATCAAATGCTCTTGAAGAACACGATTCCAGCTCTGATTTAGCAACTGGCTCTAACTGTCATTTGCTCCTGAAGACCATGATTAGTTCGGTCAGGTCCACAATATGCTGTAAAGCAAAGCTGGGGTTGAAGCAAAATTCTGCTGGCTGCATCTTGAGCACAACTGGGCCTCCATGATTTAAAATGGCATTTTCTGAAGTTCATCCAGTTTGAGTGACAATTGAAAGTGTTGGAACCCAACCTGCATCGTTTTCAGGTGATTTAGACTTGAGTATTGAAGGCTTTGTTTTTGTTTCTCTCCATTAATTTTTGTACAAGTCCATTTACTACCATTATCTCTGCTCTAGAGCATTTGTATACATTTGATAATTGAAAAGAAAATAAGATTAAATTTGAGCCTGGCATTAAACAAGTGGTCTAACCTGGTTTTAAATGCTGCTTTTACACCTGAAGACACATCTAAAGCTACAACATAATGTGGAGAAAGTGGTTTTGTTTTATAGATTTTCGAGGTTATCTAACGATCACTAATGATGGAGATAAATGTGGAATTTGTTATATTGTGTGTGGAATGTGACAGAACAGTAATTGCTCAAATAGTTGTTTCCATGCAGTATGGGTAAAATGCGCAGTCTGACTGGAACTTGCTTTTTATATAATAATGTACATTCATATTTAACAAAGGGCTTTCAGCTCTTGACTCTAATCACTGCTTATGCATGTCAGTTGTCTATTTGTGCAGGAGCTTCACAAAGAAACAGAGGCGCTTTTTTGTTGTTTTTAGGTTTTTTCGCGTAAATTAATCACAGGGCCAATCCTGCCAAAACTGCAAACTAGACGTGGTTCCACAGAGCTGAGATTTTGATTTGTATGTGATGCATGTTGCAAATACAAAATGCTATGCAAAAGTCACAGACTTCCATTCGTTTAATTTCCAGTCAGAATGGCCATTAAGTTACTTATTTTTCAGCTTTAAGGGGAAAAAATGGGGCTTTTCTCTCAAGGACAAAAGCTTTAAGTACAGTTTTGGTGGTATACATGGTCAGTTGTGGAAACTCCTGTTTTTTCACTTATTTTTCCTTTGACTTTCTCCGTCCTTATGCAGGTGAATTGTTTTATGTCTGTATTTAATGGCCATTTGACTGGAAGGGTACATGAAGGGTAATCTCTGACAGATGTACAGTACTGTATGTACATACAGTGGGCTTGTCTACCATTTTCTTTCCCTTAAGCTTTGCTGCTTGGAAACCCCAGTTTGCTTAGCCTTCGCAACTGCAGGCAGATCTGTATCGGTAGTGCTCACCAAGTCAAAAACGTTTTATATTAGTTTCCTTAGAATATATGGCTTTAATTCCCTCCTCTCCCCATCTCTAGCTCTCTCTTATTTTTGCACCTGATTTTTATTCTGCTTTTTCAGCCCTATAATGGCCTGCTTTATCTGTGCTGGCATTTCAAAAGTAAAGCCTGCATTCGAAAGCAGATTTCACGAGCGTGAATGTAACTGCAAATAAATATGCGCTAGTAACAGATGAAGCTGAAGACCCAGAATTTTAACTGAAAGTCGCTGTGCTGTATTTGATCACAAACGTGTTCGAAGTATAACAGATGACTGTTGTTTCTCTGGAACGTTTTTGTTCCCTCATAGGTCAGTTTTGATGGGCTGCAGTGGGGCTAATCAATAGGAGGACACTGCACCTGCAGTACAGAATAAACGGTCACAATAAATACGGCCAGGAAACCTTGAAACAAATGATTGAGTTAACACTGGCGGAACAATCATGAGCTGAAAGGATATGTACTTTGAAGGCCTGAAGGCCCTAAGCAGTGTAATTTAGTCAAACACTACAACGCTGTTAATCTGTGTCTAGACCCCAGGCCTTATATGTTCTTTCCATATGGTTCACAGTAGGTTGCATTTGTGAAACACACTTGCTGCTCAGAAAGCAACAGCTGCAGCAGAGATGTGCATCCCTGTCAGTGAAGGGTAGAGGTAGACAATATGGCAATATATTATCATTCTCATGAAAAATGATGTCACAGTATGCTATTAGGGGTGCTGTCGGTAGGAGAGCACAGCCTAACAAGGGGTGTAATGTAACATCTTTTTATGTAGGTCCAAGTAAAACATGCTTTTGTTTACAGTACTGTGTTCAATAGCAACATCAGTAGCAAATAGTACAGTATTCACTCCTAGATTATTTTAATTACTCTTGTAGTGCCTAAAGTGTAGCACCATTTTGTATCATTTAACCTACTCACAGTGAGAGCTAGCCAGGCTAAAGTACAGCCTCCACACACAGGGGTTAGTTTTTATACGCTGTTCTATCTGAACCTAGAGAATTAAGTCCATTTTCTCCTTTAAAAGTTCAAAACAGTTCATTTTTTGAACTGTTTATTCACAGGGAAACCAAAACACACTATATAAGTCAATGTTATTCTGCGATAGTTAGCTCTTCTAAATAAATTTGCCAGTGTTTGAGAGCCTGTTTTCACTACTCGCTAATTTTGATGCTCATTTTTGTATGTATTTAGGCTGAAAGGCTTATCTGGTTCAAGCAACTTAGCATTGTTTTTACGTCATTTTAATAAATAGAGACTTAATTTTTAATTGTAGAGACTAGTATTTCAGCTGAATTACTCATATACGGTAGGTGCTGGAAACAAGTTTTAAATTTTAAGTTGTATCAGAGATGAGTAGGTCGCTTGTATTTAAAAAATTATGCTGTTCAAATCATAATTTGAAAATTTTTTTTTTTTTACTTTGGTTAAAAAGCCCTACTTAAGCCCACTTTCAGAACACAGAACCACTGCATATACTGCCATAAAAATTACAAAAAAAAAACAATTAAGAAAGAGAGTACTGTTTCTAAAATATGATTGGTTGAGCCATGTTCAAAGCTGTGATATAAACACATGACCAATCGCATCAGCTAAATTCTGCATTTATGCACTGAAATAAAACTGAGATGATGTCCGATTATGTTTGGCAACCATAGCCTACTGTTAAACTGCACTGATTTTATTGTGACCATGCCTAATTATAAAAAAAATGATATGAATTTATCACCATTAACATGTAACACCTTTTAACTAAGGTATATTCCTTAGTAAATTCCTGAGGTAAAAGCCTCTTGCAGCTGATTGCTTTAGTTTAGACACATTTTTTCCTCCTCTTTCTTCTTAAATAGTGCATTTTGCAAATGTTGAGTTAAAAAAATCACAGTTTCTTAGCCTTTTTAAAATTTGCTGCTGCTCTTTCACTGGTATATTTTGTCTGTTCCAAACTTCAAAACAAATATTGTGATACATACTTGGTATCGATAGATTGTCTTCAGGTATTGTGACGTTACCTTATTCACAGTATCGCCCACCCTCAGTGAAGAGGATTTGCAGGTTAAGGCCTTGCAGCAGTTGAATGTGCCGTGGCTGCTGCTTAGTGATAGTGGTGGTTGGCATGGCAACATGTTCATGTCAGCAGTTTTCCTCCCCAGTAATGGCAGATATGCTCATTGTGGTGGGTGATGCTGCAGTAATTGCATGTCTAAAAGACTGCAGTGCTCATGTGTCAGGCGGTTTGAAGTGATGCAGAGAGTGATACGTGAATTTTAAGCTTTAAGGGTGCTTCCAGGAATTCTTCCTATTTCCAACTAATCCTAGGACAGCATTTCATTCATACTCATTTCCAAATTAATCAATTACTTAATTGTGGTTTCTGAATAGTTACTGTATATTATACCCAGTACAATTTTCGATATAATAATACCGATAATATTAATAATAAAACTGAATTAATATGCTTTCAGAGTACTATTTATAGGTATTTCTGTTTCCAACAGTACACTCTGATGCAATGATGTGTGCTTTATTTTTGCATGCTTATCCTAGTTTGTCAGTTCATAAATGACTTCATTGTCATTCTGTACTGTTACTATTAATGTGCATTACATCCAGTACAGTTTACAGCCTATCTGCCTTCTTGTTTTAATCTCTGATTTGAAGAACACGGTGGCTAGCTGTCACAGCCCACTTTATCCCCTGTACATTTTAATCGCCCTGGGGTTGGTGCTCAGTGGGAAGGGGTTTGGATCATTTAAGTTTCATTAACAGCTCCACGGGACAGGCGAGAGAGCTTCCGCTCATGTAGGTCATCCTGCACTGCGTATTAATCAAAGTGACTAGGGTTTAGTCAGATTACATGTGGGCATCCTGAGTATTCAAATGTCTGCAGGTTACATATTGCATACATATTATTATATAACCGAGGACACTGGGCTTTACATTTAGTGTCATATGGATGTTAGAATTCCAGCAGGCCCCCAAATGTCGAGCTACTCTCATCAGCCACTAGAGGTCGCTGTTTGGCGTATTTAAGAGCAGCGTTGCTGATACTTGAAAGCATGAGTTCTGTGCAGACAAAGAAAAACAGGCCAGCGACGAGCATAAAATACAAATATTATAAACCTAGTATTTCGGCTTATATAAAAACGAACTGCTTTCACATTGGTCGCATACAATGAAAACAGAGCGCACGGATTCCGCAATTTTGGTTTGAACGAAATCAATCAAAATGTTACTTACCAAATCAGGAAAAAATGTTAGCTGTTTATAAACAGTTTGCTGTATTTTTCCTGACGTATTTGCAAGTGGGAATTGGCGAAATCCGTATTCGACAAATAGAAATGTATAAACAGCTATTATCTCTCACCTCCACAAAGCACCACTGGGTGCGTTTCAAACCGACCGAGCGTAATGGCAAGTACGCGTGCTTAGGGAGACATCCGGGCAGTTTCTATATTAGGCTCAATTTGAAAATGCTCCCTACGTTCTCCACCGTGCACTACACAGGACTCGGTTCTACAACCGTCCAGATCACTGCCTGGCTATAAAATAAGGGCTTTTAAATCCTAATAGCTCACGTAAAAATGCGCTTTGGCCAAATAATGGCTTCTACGTGCAAATTTTGTCCTACATGTCAGTAGTAAGCGATTTGGGATTCGGTTATATTTAAAATATGGCGCTATGCCAGGGTGCCGACCGTTAAAAGTGCATTCTCACTGGAAAAGAAACAGTCCTTATATGCTGCGGATCATAAACGGACCAATAGGCGCGGAGTCTGAATCTCAGCGCGAGCGGAGCTCGCCCTAGGGATGGTTTAGTTCGATTCAGTTTACCGAACCGATTCTTTCGCACTGCCCGTTTCAATGAAACAAAACATCTGATTCAATTATTCATTGACTCATCGGTCAGGGCGACTTTGTTCTCATTTCCTCTCTGTAGAGTGATTCAGCGAGTGAGTCTAATGTCCAGGATGATTAGTCAAGTCAACGTTATAGTGTTTATTAAATGAGTCTTACCAATAATGTGGAATTTGGCAGCGCTGATCGCGCCTTTTCTTTCCAGGATAGGGGGGTAACAATAATGATTAACAAGACAGCTTTATTCTCACCTTCCTCATATGTAAGCCGAGTCTAAAGTGCTGTGATTAACATGTTATTATGTATTTTATAGTTTAATGAGGACAGGCTTTTACTGGAAGTCATAGACGCAGTAGGGCCGCACAAAAAGTTCTATTCAGTTCGATCGAGCAACTGAAAAGAACCGATTCAAAATAACGAATCGTTCAGAAGAGACGGCGCTTCAGACGGAGGCAAGGAGACGAAAAAACCCACCGCTGCCAAAATCCTCATTTTTGGAGACGCTCATTAAATGGGAATTATCGTCCGCTTAGTGTCCGTTTCGTGAAGAGAAACGTGCCGCTGGAAAACGAAGATGGCTTGAGAGACACGGACCTTCTTTAAACCTTAAGTGGCGAGTTTTCCGCCGTTTTCTACTCGTCGGTTAACGGCTCATTCTTGTCATTTTTTTCTGTAGCTCTGACTTTGAACGGCTCGTCTGAGACGTTTGCTAACTGGCTAACGTTAACGGCGCTTCTCGTCTTGAAGAAGAAGCGGCGATGTTTGGCGGCTTTTATTCGGTTTCTGGTTTTGCTGCTTAGCTGTTTGGGGGATTTAGCGTAAACGTTAAGCTAGCAGGGCGGCCAGTCTTAGGAGAAAGCAGGATAATGTGCGCTAACGTTATTTCCTTCACCTCAGAGGCGAAGTTGCCAACGACCCGAGAGAATTTGCTGCTGATTCAGGCTACACCGCTGCCCTCCGCTCTGTTAGTGCTGCTGGACCATTGTCTGGGTTTTTAGCTGAAAGAGAGGGAATGGCTTGTATTAATTAAAGTATGTATTTAATGAAATGAAACTCCGTTAAAGAGCACCGTTAAAACCGACTGAAAAAATCGTGGTCATTCAGCGAAAACTGTTTCTGTGGAATATCACTGTAAGACCTGGAGAAAATGGAAAACGAGGTGTTCACGCCTTTGCTGGAGCAATTTTTGCTCACTCCTCTTGTGGCCTGGGTAAGATTGGTGTTTTTCTCTCAATTGCGCCTGTATAATAAACGGAGAAGTGGACGATTTCGTAATACTGGGCATTATTAATAATAGGTGTCTGAAATGTTCTAGGTGAAGACTGTGGTCCAGCCAACCATGAACGATGGAAGCAAGCTCTCTGAATACATGGAATTAGTGGATGGCGCGTACTTGAACGAGGTCATGCTTCAGATGTAAGTACAGGGCAGTCATGGTATTATTTATAAAGAAGGCTGCAGGCATCTTGTAGCCTTTTGTTAAGGCAGAAATATGCACGGCACCTGGAGCAAATATCCAGCCATCTCCACCCATCTCTTCACATGTTTTCCAAGAAATATGTTTGGTCCAAAATATCATTTCAAGTTTGCGGTTTTGAGCCGTGCTGTACTCAGGGCTACTGCTGGTGTTACCACCCTTTGCGTGCCTCGCAATGGTGCATGCATGCAAATACTGTCATTGCATGCTTTGTACGAATGGAAAATCTGGCATTTGTTTAATTTCTTCTGGTTTTCTTTAGCTTCAGCAGGCTGGAATCATCATATTCTTCTTAGAAAAAAAGGCTGGTGTCAACACATATACTTGCTTTCATGATTGGTAGAAGGTTACGAGTTTCCCTTGGGTCTGTCTATTACTACAGAGCCTTACACTGATTTGTCACACTGTGCTGAGCTACTGTGAGAGAGAAACGTTTTTGTCAGATGTCAGTGCTGGTCAGTGAGTGGTCCCTAACCGATGGACACATTTATGGGTATGGAAGCGCCTACCGAGTCATACATTTATCATCAGACACTATGACAGCATATGATGCGTGAATCAGCTTGTAGTGTTGTCTTAACTGTTGTGATTGAAAGGTCTTTTGACCTTTACTGGTCAACAAGATCTTTAACTGTAATTTCTCAGTGATTTTGGGCGGTTAAGGTATCCGTTAACGGTTTTGATGGTTGCATGTGCTCATCATCCAGAGGAATGGCTAGAGGGCTATTGATCTTGCCATTCGTCTTAACAAATTTGACTTTTAGGGGGTGGAGTTCAGCGTAAAGCCCAGACCTGGGTGTCTCTTAGGGTTGTGCTGGTTCACTGAAGAAGTAAATGCGTTCAGTATTAACAGGAAGTAAGACTTAAAAATACTGTATGTATACGAGAAGGTAGTAGGGGACAGTACATTAATACATACAGTTATTTCCAGACCTTTATTTTTAAATCCGCATTCAGGAAGCTGTAGTTTTTGTCCATGCAGGACATATTTGGTTAATCCCAGGTGTTTCAGCGACATCAAAATAAGTAACAAATTCTTTGTCCAAAATCACATGGTGATAACTTGTTTATGAAAGTGTGTCCACTACTGTATCCTGTCAGTTTTTATAGAGAGGTGTTGAGATCTTAGTTTAAACAGAGACATGCACTTCATTCATGGTGATGTGTGTCCTGTCAACATGGTATACAGAATGTACAATACACTCCAGCCCACCTATTGGCTGGCCCGATTTGCAGCATGTTATTAGCCTGTATGTTAAGTGACATAGATGCAGATCTGTGTCACTACTGTGAGGTTGATTTGAAGTCTTCCTCACTTATTGAAGATTTTTAGGCAGTTAGTTTTGGTGCTAAGCTTTGGGCAGCTGTTGGCACTCATCCTCTCAGCATGGCTCTCAGACAGAAGGCACATTGTCTATGAGTGAAGTGAAGCAGGTCTTTGTTAACTGGCAGGCGTGTTAACTGGTTAGTGATTCTGGTCACTGGTAAATCTTTAGCAAAGCTTACATGGAGCTGGTTCATTTTTTTAATCAAGCATCCCACATTTTTCTCACTTTTCTTGCTCATGTGCAAAGGTCTTTGCTCGAACCACAATGTTTATAGAAAAGTTTCTCCTAATTGAATTCAGATAACTATTATAGAATCAATATTTTTATTTCCCTTCCTCTTTCTGCCAAATGATTGAGAAGAAGTTTCAGCGCCACTTATCTACTTTGAAATGTAGAATTTGGCAGACGCAGTGTCCTGCACTTTGTAGCCTAATTTAATATGGCCAGCAGAAATTAGAGGAACTTGTTGGCATTACACCCATAATAGCTTTAGCTCTGGCACGCTGTAGTCTGGCTCATAATCAATACTAGCTCTCCTAAAGGGGTTGACACAAATGGTCATTATCCAGAAGAATGGCTACAGGGGGATTGATCTTGCCATTCGTCTTAACAAATTTTTTTTTTATGGGTGTAGTTGAGAGATGTGCCCTGGAGGTGGGAGTCTGATACATTTGTGGTGTTTTTATTGAAGAAATGTGAGATGATGCGTTCAGTATATTTATAAATTTATAAATGTAATGTTAAATCAATTTATATTATTTTTTGAAAAGCTTCCTTTTTTCAGGAAGTTTTAATTCTTGTCCAAGCAAGATATTTGCACAGACAGACATACGCACAGCATTGCCTTCACGCAAATTAACTTTTTCTAAAATCTGCACAATTTTATTTTCATTATTTATTTATTGTTTATTATATGCATATTATTTGTATGCTACACTGAGAGACTGAGGAGTCTAGCTAGTATGAAATGAAAGCTGGCAACAGACACATGATTCATGTATAAAAATGTCTATATGGGTAATGAAGAAAAGTATTGAACTCTGTAGAGCATTCCCTGTTGCGTCAGCAAGCACCGGACTTACACTGTCACTACATTGTAATATGCTAATCTCTCGAGACTGATGTTAGCTTCTTATTCGAATTGCTATTGCCCCTTAAATAGTGCAGCAGTTACATGGTAAGGCCAGTACAGATGTTTGAATGTAGCTGCTACATCATTTAAGGTGGAAGGGGAAACAAGAAGCTAACTTCAGCTTCATATATATTCTCTCTCCACTGTAAGAACCGGCCCACCTGGAATTCTTCCTGTCTCTCTCTATTGCCCACTTGGGCATTGGCTGTAGCAGTCTCAGGACATCAGCTAAAGCTGGCTTGCCTCTCCTTATGTAAACAGATACTGAATAGATCCTGAATTTTCTGTTGAGCTCAGGTGCTGGTTTGAAATGCATTTTTTGTTACTGTGAAATGATTTAGCTGTTAGTTAGATTTGTTAACATACCCTTTCTTCTGTAAAAAGTATGGTCTTTCTGATAGATGCGTTTTAATAATTTAAAATATTGTGGTGGAAGAAATTGCGAATTTCTTTCCAAAGACTGTGTTTTGCCCTGTGGTTCTGTCTACTACTTTGGATCATGTAAAGGTGCGTGACGCTCCACATATGAAAGCTCTACTTTTTGCCCCATCTCTTTTGGCCAATGACAGAAAGTCTGTAGTTTAGCATACACAAGTCCTCTTTGCCGGAGAGAATCCTGCCTGGATTATCTAACGGTATAGAGCATGCAGCACAGATGGTGGAGGTAAACGCCTTGCCCCATGGTGACGATTGGTCTGTCCCACACCCTTTCCACCCATGGTGCTCCACATAACCAGAAGCTCCCCAAGTTACACGCCACCGTGAGCACCACCTGAAGCTGTTTGACAGACTCCAGGTTGTGCTTCTGCCTCTGGAGCTTTGCCAGCCTCTGCTCGGGTGCTCCCCTGTTGAAACCAGTGTCATTCTCTGACCTCAATATGATTGGTTTGATTCCGTGTCTTTAGAAAATGATTCAGTTGATAATGAATTCTCAAATTTAACCTCTGTTTATTTCATTTACTTTGGTACAATTCAGAGTATTTTTTTAAATGCGTGGAATACACAAGTGCGATACAGTAGTGAAACATAGACAATAAAAATAGCACATTTGTCTGATTGTTTATGTTTGAAAAAGCTTGAGAATTTTGTTTTGGCCAGAAGTTAAAGCACACTTTATACAGGATTATTTTAACGGATTATAATCAGTTGAAACATTCGTAGTTCAGTGAAGTTGAATTGTCACAATGCATCAATGTCTTTTTACACCCCTCATCTACACCACCGTTACTGACCAACAGCCTGACCCCCACAAGCCCAATTCACACATAGAATATTGCCACTTTGTCCCAGCAGTATGCCGGCTGGAGCCGATAAGATATCTGTTGAATGACAACGGTTTAATTACGCTAATCCCCCGATTGGGCTGTGTTCTCTCGAGCAGCCCCATTTCACACCCTGCAGTGCTTCTTTGCGAACAGACAGAGGGTGATAATGGGATAGACCCACATCAGCACAGACAATACTTTTCTGGCTTTTTTCTCCCTTTCTCTCGCTTTCTGGGTTTTTAGACACGTGTCTTCCTTTGTCCTTTGTAGTGGGGGGCATTGTTGCTAGATGCTTTGCGTGAACCTATTGCCTGTTTCTTTATCCTGGGAGATCAAAGATGTCAATCTGGTCTGGAGATGCAGACAGGTAAGAAAAGGCTCCATCCCCCCAGCACGACTTCTGTTATTGCTGCCGCTGTTTCTTCTGCTGTTATCTGCCATGTCTGAGAATGAACTTACATCCATTCCTGCTTCCCTGTTGCTTTTCCTCTCTCTATTTTTCTTGCTGGCCTACTTTCCACCCTTATCTGCTGGATGGAAGAAACACCTCCTTGATTTTTGGTGCATCTATGTGATGATAGGGGCTGTTTTTTGTGCTGAATCTGTGGAATGAGTTTCAGATTCTGAACTGATGGGATGGGAATGTTGTGCTGTTTAAAAAATGCTCTGAAGTTGGTCTCACAGGAAGAAGTCGTCATGACCTTGGAAAGGCTGTTATTTTAACAAGGCCACATTGGAGCCCTGTAGGAATTTTTGAAGTCAGTGGAAACATACAGATGCACTCCAGTCTCATAATTATACAAAATCCATTAAGTTTAAAGGCAAATCCACATACAGTAAGGCTTGTACTGAAAATACTGGGGCTTATGATTATAGTGAATAGTGATTCTTGTTTAAAGAAAATCCTTAATTAGTATTTTTGCCCATGAAACCATTGTAAGTTGGTACACATTGATCACTGTTTCTCTGGTTGTTTTTTTCTTCTGTAAGGGGCGTGAGTGCATTGTTTTCACTGATTGGCTGCTTCGGTCTCTTTTCTGGTTGGTCTGAAATTGGGGTCTTCAATGGGTGACTAATGTGTTTTTGCCCTCTGGTATGAGGGCTGTTGATAAACATGTCTTTCTTTAGATTTTTGGTGGATAGGCTTTAATTTTTTCTCTTCTCCCATCGTTTGTTTTGTTTCGGCGCCCTCTCCTTCCTCTTCTGTCTTATGTGTCACCCGCATGTCTAGAACACAGCTCTAGAAAACGGTTCCCCTTTCCACTGGAAAGGCCACTTGTGCCGTGACAGTGTTTGTGTTATCCTGCCTCTGTCCTCCCCCTCCCCACCCTCACCAGCTGAGAATGATGCAGCCTGTCAGAAGTAGGTTATTCCGTGGCACAGCAGTGCCTGGGGCCGTGGTGCATTCTGCATCGACTATTGACTTCTGCATCGGCCGCCGATGTCTGAAGGACTGCTTCATGAACGCAGTCTATCTCTCCTTTCTGTCATAGCAAAGCCTAATTTCAAGGCGGTTTGTCCACACTATTACATGCAACTTCTAGGGGTGTATATTTCTAACTTCATGACAATTCAGTTTTAGTGCAGTTCATTTGGAACGATTCAGTGCTTTGTGAATTTCACCACAAGTCAATTCAATTTGATTCTTTTGAATTGGAATTATTTTTAAAATTCAATGATTGCACAATTGTGCAATTTATACAACAGTGCAATATGAACAAACACGTTTTTACATTTGAAAATAGCTTGAGGATTTTGTTTTGGCAAAAATGTTTGTGTACTGTTTTAGGGTTTTGTAATTCGTTTTTCTGACCATTACTGTGATTGCAAATGAAATGCTATTTTTTAAGGCCGTAGTTTTCCACAAGAAGACAAGCATATCCATTTTTTCAGGCTTGAGGCTTTAATGTTGTTTGTAGTGTGCCAGATTGCCAGTTCACAAGCTTGGTTTAATTTTCCCCACTTGAAACTAATTGACAATTTTGAATAACATAGGATGTAATTAAAATTTAAGCTCTTGCAATTTGACAATTGCACACTTTCAGATTTCGATTCCGATATAAAAACAAATCATGACTCAGCCCTGTTTATTGAACGTTGTTATTATTGACTGTTTAATTGATTATAATCGATTATATCATTCCAAAATCTATGCAGTTGAATTGCCGCCTTCAGATTAGTGACTGTTAGTAGAGAGAATGATGGAGGTCGGCGCTGGGCTTCAATACTATGCTGGATTCATTTCCTTCCCATTTTAGGGATGAGATGTAAATTAACATCCACAAGGCTGGCTCACTCTGTTTTAACCAGCACTTGGGCTGACAGGATTACAGCTCCCACCGCGGTATTTAATTAAGGGGTTAAGCCCACCCCCCATCGAGGCCGTCTAAAAGGCCTCCCGGATAGGCATGCGCTTTGAGGTCACGTGATGGGTGTATTCACACTATTCTTAAAAGGACCTTGTTCCTTGATTTGCAAGACTAAGAAGTAGTTGTGTGTGGTGGTGTGTGTGTGTGTGTGTGTGTGTGTGCGTCTGCGTAGGACTACATCAAAAGAGCCATTAAGGCTGTTACCACTGAATGGCTGTCTGTAGCAGTGTGGGTCTTCATTAGCTGCTTTATCACTGTTTTAATAATAACACTGTGGGTTACTTTACATTGCTATAAGTAAGAGGACTATTATCCTCGTACTGAACAAATTAGAAAGATATGTTGATGGGAGGTTTTGTTTTATTGTTGTTTTTTTCATTCACCCTTCAGTGGCTATACAGTTGTCACGTGATGTGAGTGACACAGTTGAACGGACGGGTTAGCCATTTCATCGTCTAGTGAGTAGCCACGAATGTCTGTATGTGCATGGAGTGTATGTATGTGTATCTGGGGCAGTTAAGGATGAGGGGAGGAACTGTGTCAGGGTTCACTTGTAACATGCCTGATGCATATGGGTCTCCACAAGACCTTTACAAAGAACAACAAATGCAAAAGTGCTAGAAATGTAATGATTCAGATGTTTTCGATTCCAAGGTCAAAATTTGAATTGATGTTTGATACTGTACATGTTAAAAATTGCTTAATTTTACAAAGCTTGTGTTAAATACTTAAGTTTGGTTTGGCTCAGAAAAAAATGCAAATTTATTTCTAAACAGAAGATTGCAATGTAAAATATTTTTGTGCCAAACAGTGATTTTATAAAACAGTGCAAGTGAGCTAGAAACAATATAAAAATAGACGGGATGCACCAAAATGCCTAGTTTTGATCATTGAAAGGTGGTAAATGAGAGACGCTTGGAAGAGACCAAGGGGCATTTTGGACATACAGTTTTATATTAGGTTTACATTCATTTACTGTATTAAAATCATTGCACCCTTAATAGTGATGCACAATGATATTGGAAGCATATTGGTATTGGTGCATATTTGTTAAAGAAAATATCACCTTTAAGCAGATGTTTATATCTGACAATATTTCAAACTGATATTTGATTAAATTTTTATTATACTATGAAAGAGCAGAATTTTCCTGTATGTGCAGTCTTCTACAAATAAGCATGTTTTTTTATGCTAATCCAGGTGGATCTACTTCCACTTTCTACATTTCATAAAAGTTTATGTATCAGCATTGGCAGCCACAGATATGTACATAACCAATATCAGAAATCGGCATCGGCCCACAATTCCCATATCTTTATGTCCCTACTCATAAATTTTCACCCACACACATACTCAGTCAGACATTTATGCTCTCTGTATGTGTAAAAAATTGGTCCTGATTAATGTCATTTTTATCTCTTCTGGGAAATTTGCACATTTTACCTGTCATTTGCATCTGCATAACTGCCTGTCATAGCGCTGCACAGCAGCTGGATCAGAAGAGCCTGGGCAAGAAACGAGGTCAGTGGCTAACTAAACACAAGCCATCTGCCAGCGAAGAAGATCGGCGAAGCCGTAGATGTGCTAATCTCTGTGTGCTCATAGACCATGTTCAATTTTGAGGATCATCAAAGCATAGGGCTGAGCTGATAGGCCCACGGAGCCTCAGGGAATTCAAGCTTGTCTCTCTGTTCTCTCTCTGTGCAGAGAGATGGTCAGATATAACTGTTAAATATAAGGTGTGGTGGGATTTTGTTTGTGTCCCTGTACCCTGCAACACTTCTTGTATTGGAGGAGTTGGTGTGTCTTGCAGGGCCAGCTAGAAATCTTTTTGAGGTTTAAAGAACCGGGCCAAGATTTTGGTCAGAATCACTTTTGGCTATGTTTAGCTCTCCTTTTACTCTTTTTTTAATTCCATCTAGGTGTTTTATAGCTGGGGCTAAAACAGAAACTCATTGATGTTGTGTGATAATTAGGCCAAAACAGTGAAAAGCCCAGGGGTTTTTCTCTGCTCCTGAAAAGTTTTTCTCTCTGCAGCACTTACTGGGTAGTTTCCACAGAAGCTTTTTGTATGAGGGATAAACTGAAGGAGAGTGTTTGTGCTAAGTGAACTGCATATATTGGCATTTATAAAAGCATTATAATATTTGACACATTAAAATAACTCTCTATAAGAAACTTTATGTGTCTATATATTGGTTGTTTTGCATATCCATCAGGACATACAGGACAAACACGTTTTTGCTCTCTATTGTGATATTGACATTAACAACGGCTGGGGAGAAACTCTGCACTACAAAGTTTCTTCTGAAAACATGTGTTCTCTAAAATGTGGCTTGACAAAGGTTATTTGCTGGGTTGACTTCTAACATCACAACAGGTTTAGCATGGTCTGTCACTTATGAATAGAGAACTTATCTCAGCATTGTCGGAGTGCTTATTTATTCATAGCCAATGGGCCGATTTAACTGACAGTTTAAATTTCCTTTTACCCAGAACACAATCCATGCTTTTAAACTATTTTGAGATTGTAAGATTTCAGATAAAAGCCATTGCTCTGAAGTGAAAGTCTTTCTTTCTGGGACTGAATCAGTTGTTTTCTGCCACAATATAAATCTGTCTCATTGTTTTTTGCAAATCTTATTGAAGAGCAGGATAGTGATCCATACTGTATCATCACTGTATCATGTGCCAAGATCCAAGAACAAGCAGTTACTTTGAAGCAGTTTCATCTACTGGTGTATTTTCATGACGTCTGTATGAACTGATGGTTGCATTGGTTGAGGAAGTGTTTAACCATCTGAGTGACATTTGACGCCTCTGTGTCTCTGACCTCATGTCTGAGATTGAGCTGTCAGGAGTTTGTCTCACTCTTAATCACGTTGCTGCTAATGTAACCTTTCACAAGCAAACAACAACTCTTGAATTGCTTTGTTCTACCCAGTCATTAGAGCTATAATTGTTTTTTTTCTCTTTCACAGAAATCCTAAAGCATCCACCCAGAGAGTCACCAAGAAAGTGAACAATGACCCAGTATTACGTGTACAGAATCTCTCCATCCTTATACGGCGGATCAAAACATATTATCAGGTGAGTCAATGGTGCTTCTTTCAAAAAGGTAGCCTAATTTTTGTCATTCTTGATTGTGATAATTTATTTTGTTGATGTTTTGCTGAGGACATGGTGGAACATGGTACACAATAAATAACATACACAGTTAAACAACTGTCCTTTTAAAATTGTGACCGTTGTGTCACAATATTTTACTGGGAATAAAAGCTCCCAGTGCAAAACACATATGTTCATCAAAAATGGTTGCAACAAATTGGAAGCAGAAACACTGTAAATAGATACTCACACTGAAACACTGTTCTGGTCACTCAAGCTCATATGCCTGTGGCTGGTGTGATGTGGGAATATTGCCTGTTTTCCAGATGGTGCTGCATTTTCTCTCCAGCACTGGAGCTGTGCTCAAGTGCACTGCAAATGCGTTACGCAGAACTTTAGAGGCCATAGATGTGGTTAATTCAGTGAGCCCATTCAATATTGTGCATTGAGAGAGACTTTGAGGTTCAGCTGATTGAATTTGTCTATTTTTCCACTATGCAATGAAATGCAAGTGTTACAGGCTGGTGATCTAATGAGATTGTGTCTCAGATTAATCTTTTAAAAACAGTTCATCTGTAGCTTTTGGCAGAAGGATCATGGTGCAGTGAACCAAAAAGTGTAAGTTATAAGGGTGTGTGAGGCATGCAGAACTGAAAATGTGCAGTTGCAGCTAGGTGTGCACCAATATGAGAATATCTGTTGATGGTGTATGTTTGTTTTTATTAAGAATTAGGATTTACTCCACTTAGATTAGCAATACAGAGAAATGTTATTTATTTTTGTGTGGCTACAAATGCTGCAAAATCAATAAAATTCAGAAATTTTAGTGTAGTATCCCAGTGTTGCAAGCTTTGCCCTGCTGTGCCATATTTGCAGAATCAAATATCAATTTGAAATCAAATTTTTGTAATATTTACTTTTTGTTCTGAAAAGAGTTGCTGAAAAGGATGAGGGCTGGGTAAAAAACAGTAGGACACTTGCATGGTCAGTCCTAAACTATTTTAGGCATGGTCACTATGATGGTTTCAGTTGTTTTAGGTTTCTGACACTTTCCTGAAAGTTCAGGAATTGTGCGTGACAGAGCTTGCATGCAATGGACTGCTGGAATGTGTGAGAAGTCGAGAAAGCATGTTCAACAGGGCAAAGGAATCCCCCCAGCTACACTACTCCTGAACTGTAGCTTCGCACAATATTCAGACCACAGAACAAATTATATGCTTTTATTTATAAATAATGTTTAGCAGTACATATTAATCATTAAAATTGTTAATGTTAAGCCTCACTGCACATTCACAGACCACCCCTTCATTCATTTAATTCCCAGTCAAAACAGCCAAATTAGGTCACATTATTTATTTGTCAGTGTCAGAAAAAACATAAACATATATAACAGAACAGTATACAGGAGACACAACTAAATAGATCACATTTTTAAGTATTTAGTTTGTCCACCCTTTATCTTTATTACGGTTTCCATTCTTTTCAGAAGACTTGCTTACAGTTCTCAAAGAAATCTGCAAGGGTATTTTTCTGTACCTCCAAAGTTCAGTCTTAAAGGTTGGTTCATTTTCTGCTCCTCATGACTCAAGTAAACCTAGTTAATTTAGACTCCTCAATCCATAAAACCGTACTCCACGTCTTTGACGTCCAGCGCAAATATCTTATTGCATTTATTCAGTAAGGGCTTCTTTACAGCTTTACAGCTATCTTTTCAGACCCATAACACTGAATTCTCACAGTGTAGGGAAGGATAGAAACACCTTTAGATTTTTTGCAGATCTGAAGCAAGTATGGAGCTTGGATTCTGATGAATGCTTTAAAGACTGTTTATCTGATGGTGACAGTTTTGTTGGTCTGCCAGGTCTTGATTGTTAGGAGTCCCAGTTTCTTTATGTTTTTTGTACTCCACTTTTGGAAAGTCTTGTTTTTTCACTTATTTTCCCTTTACTTTTCCGTTACTTTTGCAAGTGGATTATATTATGTCCAACCTCCTCAGAAATGTCTCCTTTAGTCATTTTAGCGTATGAAACACTAATGTGCGAGGCAGCTGAGGTGAGCTTGGGTAGTTACTTGTGTGAGTGTTGGTGGGGAACATAATACCTGTAACGTCTTTGGGTACAGCCTTTGTTAGGAGGACACAGCTGTAACTCATTGGTTTTAAGATTGGAAGAATGAAAGAGTTAAAGTGACTGTAGGGCACGCAAAAGTAAAGAGTAGACAAATTGAATTTTTTATCTCACACTGAAAAAAAAGAATAACTTGAATTTAATGGCGGAATGGCCCATCTGTTCACATGCCACCCTAGTCATGTGCCGTAGTTGAATCACATGCCATTTCAGTCACTGAACATATTTAATCAGCTATTTTCTTTTGTTTGTGCATTGAAGACTTTCTTCATGGCCTTGAGTAGTAATTTGCCCTCATTTCCAGGTGATAGCATCACCCCAAGAATTAGCCCACCCATGTTTGTTGATACACATGGCTGACATTTTCTTCTAGTGAATCAAAACACAAGCACCCCCTCCTTTGTGCCTTTTGAAGTTTAATAAGTCTGGTGATGATCAGACTTGAGATTACACATCAGTGACTGACCCAGAATCAAGTGACAAATATGAATATTGCCCAAGCCAGTAGGCATTGTACTTCAATGTGACTCAATAGAAGCGCAGGATTAAAAAGCGCTGATTCAGCATACACTCACTCCCAGCGGTGCAAACTTACTAATTAACTCTCCTCAAAACTGAGGTCCTCGACTTCAAACCAACAACCCCCCCCCGTCCGTTTATTATAATGGGGCTTTGGAATCTCTGCAACAGAAGGAAAGTAATTACTTGCCATGCAGATAAGTCGGCCAGTGCCCCATTTCCGTAATAATGGTCCTGTATTGCTGTTCCAACCAGCAGATTGAGCGTCTCCACTCTTCACATTTCCGAAGCAGTTCCTAATGGACGGGTAAGGTTGCGGGCAGGGTCTCGGTCTAGACGCGTGACTGCTAAAACAATCAGAGGCTCTTGGAAATAGATTTTTTATGTATAAGGCTGGCTGCCAACCAGGGGCTTGAGGAAGAAAGGAGCTGAGGGGATTTGCTAGGAAAAATAATGCCGTCTAAATAATGCATAATACAGTGAAAAGCCCTGACTGTAAAAGTGGCTTTTATGGTCATTTGGTGAGATTATTTCTTTTCCCTGACCGGAGCGAAGTATCGGATTACACATAGGTGGTTGAATGTGGCTGCTTTTAATGGTGGAAAACGTTTTCTTTTAAGGTATGGCTGGCACTGCGTGGATGTAATATTTTTTGTCCTTTCTCAGTCCTTGATGTAGTCCAGAGAAAGTATCCCTGCACCATATAGTTTAATCAGTCCACTAGGAACCAAAGGCAATCATTAGACAGCATGACATCGGACTTGCCCTCTGCTTTCTACTGCTCTGCTGCAGCACTCACTCACTTATTTGGCCTATATTGTGGACATACCTACGGTCCAGATTCCCCACCCTCCTATAATATAACAGAGCAGAACTAACAGTGTAAAACAGAACTCAAATCACCTAATATTTTTATCTATTCTGTTTCATGGAAGGCAGGTAGGAAACAGGGGTGCACAATGTAGACAGAATCTTACCGTTGCAACGATATTGCTACATTTTGAAATTGCAGTATACTAAAATGCATTTGTTAATCGATTGTTATATGGTTACAGATTGGTCTACATTGTTTTGACAAGACTACTTTACCTTTTTTTGATTTCATAAATATCTTGATTCATTGAATACTCACAAAAACACTCATCTTGAGCTGCAGTTGGTCAAGATGGTCTCAGCACGTAGTGAAAAACATTGTGATTGGTTGGGGGACTCATTTTCATGTTGGAGCACTATCAGTATTGCAAAGGCCAGTATCATGATATCAGTTCACACATGATATATTGTGTAGCCCTAGTAGGAATAAAACCGTCAATGTAGACGAGTCCAAAAGCATGACTTATTAAGCAACAGCAGTCTTTCTCTGATAAAGTCTTGTGACTTGTATGAGCCGTCACTCTAAGATGGCTATGAACTTGCCGTCATAAGATTTTCCTGTGACCCCTTGTACTTAATGCGTTTGCCTCTAAATGTGAGCTGTCAACTGTCTCTTTATTAGTTACCACAGATATGTTAATGGAATTATAATTTTTTTTTTCTAGAAAGTCTAGCTCTTGTTTCTTGACCTGATTTTGAGCACAAAATTTTAATAGCGCCAGACCCACTGACTTCATGCTTGTTTTAGATGTCGACACACTTTAGCCTTGTGACATTGAGACTGCTGCAGTAGTTACTGTGCATCTTTTTTGCTCCCTTTTTTGACACAGACTTGTGGCCTGTTTTTCACTGCAAGCTGAACAGTGCTCCATTCTGGGCCTGGCCCTCAGGCTATGAGCTCTGAATACACGTGACTTTTTTTGAGCTCACTTTAGAAGCAATTACACAGAAATAGGTGACGTTTTTAACCCAGCACCCTTTTCTGCCATCATGTAAAAGCAACTTTATTCCCACATCTGTGAGACTCGGTCAGTCCTGGCCTTTAAAAACAGCAGCCTGGTTTGTTTTGGAAGTGCAGGCTTGAAGTAACATAGTGGCCAGCAAACACAAAGGCTGCCTGTTAAACGTCCAGTCTGGAGAGCAGAGGGAATGTTTGTTTTCAGTTATTTTCCCCCATTTTCCATCTTGAAAGGCAGCATGGTAAAAGGGGATATCTGTGGCTGCAGGATATCAGTTTCAGTAGATTTTTGCTTAAATTATAATATTAGTAGTAGATGCAGTATTATAATTTTGGGCAATATGTCATCATTATATGACGATATATTAAGTAGGCTAGTTTAATAGTCTGGAGAAGCAGACATGCTTGTGGCTATGCATCAGTCATACAGCACTAGTTCAGCTTGAGGCAAATTGATAAGAGGATGTTGTGATTTCATATGTTTTAAAATAATGCTATACACATTA